AGAGGAGAACAGAGTCTCACAGGCACCTTTCTGCTGCTGTCAAGATATCATGAGGCCCCAGCAAGGATATCAGGGTAATGCACTGGGGGTTTGCCAGAGGAGGATGTGAGCATGAGTGTGAGCAGCAGGGCCCCACAGAGAGGGGTTGTGCATAGTATCTCCTCTGTCTCGTGGTCAGGGCTCCCAGTACCCCTCACCGAAGTAGCACTGAGTAGCGCCTGTTGTCAGGGCCCTCAAAGTAGCACAGCTCAGTGCCCAGGCTGCAAGTTGGGTGATCTGTATTCTGCCCCCTGCTGTGCTGCAAGCCATGGGCCACATCTGGGTCCTGCTCTTGCTGGAGTCAGTGGGAATCTCCCTATGAGAGTGGGTCCTTAATTCTCTGTGCCTCAGTTTCTTCCTTGCATTGCAGTGACATTTCCCTCCTGTGCAAGTGTGCTGGGTGGCTGAGCTCATTCATATTGAGGGTGGGGTGGGGAGCCTCTGGGCACCTTGGAGGAACAGTTTTAGCTGATTCTCTCTGGGAGGGAAAACTCTGGGTTCTGCACTGAACCCAACTGCAGATCCAAGGAGCACCTGAGATCCTGGAACCCAGAGGGTCCCATCGCCATCAAAGGTGCTGCAAAATAGGCCTATCCTAGAGGAGTACGGGCAGCAGAATCCGGTCTTGCACCAAGCAGCCCTCTCTGGGGTTTGCACTGGAGCAAAGCTGCTTGTCTCTGCTTGCCCTGAAGTTCAGGGCAGTAGTGTGTGCTGCTACACAGGCTGCTGCATTCTGCCCAGGAGGTGGCTGGATGGCAGCGCTGGGTGGACAGAGTGTAGTAATGCTAGGCATGTGCTGTGGTTCTTAGGGTTGTAGAGCCAAGTAGTCAGCTGATCAGGAACAAGTGCTTTTTCCCTCAGCTGAATGGTGTCTAACGCAAGTGAAAACGAAGAAGGTGGAGAGAAAGGGAATGAAGGGCCAAGAGTGGAGGAGGATGGGGCTAGCCCCGTCTGGGAGCCTGATCATGTAGTCAGGTGCACAAGAGGCCTCCTTGAGACCAAGCTATGCTTGGGAAGAAAGAGACCTCCATTATCAGAACAGGAGCCATGAGGATGGTTCCCTGGCTTGGTGTCCTGGCACACAGGTGTTACCGTCCCAGCTGGGGAGCCATGTCCCTTGGAACCTACCCTAGGCCCGTCATCTAGGTGCAGATATTGTGCCCATCTCCATGCTGTCCCACAGTCTCAGGTAGGGATGAGCAGGGGGAGAGGGCAACCTGATCCTGGGCAGTATGGAGCTGCCTGTGTTCCCAGTGACTTCAGTGCACTTGGCAGCTTGGCAGGAGCAAGCTCAGTGCAAGCTCATGGTCTATGTTGAATTATGCAAGGGAGATTTGGCCTGAGCCCATTGCTACTGGGCCTCTGCAGCACATGCTAGAGCATGCAGGCTTAGACCAGAGCCTTGGCTAGGGTGGCCAGCCTTGCTCCACAAGTGTGCTGGGTACTTCGGAGTCGGACTTGGCTGTAACTTATCAAATCGGCACGGGGCACTCTTTGCTCCATCTGTTGGAGTGTGTCTGCCCGCTCTGGGTTTTTCTGTCTGCCAAGCTGCTGGGGATCCCAGCCCTGCCCCTGCCCTGAGCACTGTTTTCTTTAGGAGCCAGAAGCTAGTGACTGCTTGTCTCAAGGTTTTCTTTGAGCAGTCAGTAACAAGGTAGCGTGACGCCCATGCACACTGCACCTGTAGCTCACTCATCCTGGAGCCTGCATGTGTTTTATGGTCTTGCAGCCTCCTTGGCAGGCAGGTGAGTGTTTTTATCCCCTCCTTATCTTGGGAGAAACTGAGGCACAGAATTGCCCAACAGCACTCAGCAAGATGTCAGCAGGTGGTAACAGAATCTAGCTCTTCTGGCTCCCAGGCCCATGCTTTGAATCCCAAGCAATTTGTCCCTTTGGAGTTCACCAAAAGGGAAATCCGAGGGGTGCTCCTTGTGTGCCTAGATGGGACATCCTGGTCTGGAGCCCTTGCCATCAGGATGGTACATTTGAATCATGACTCTCATCCTATTGTTGGAAGATGAGGGAGAGGCCAGACGCAATGAGCTACAGAGCTTGGCAGCCCTGTCTGTTTCCCTGATGCCTGGGGTCTGCTTAGGGCCCAGGTTAAGGGACGGCATTGGTAGGAGAGGGCTTCCTGGTGGCCATCTGTGGTGCACCTTGTTTGCACAAAGCTCTCCCTAGTCTCCGGGAAGATGCAGATTTGCTACTGAGCAGTCTCCTGCTGGAGTGTTTGCAGCACATGTCACTCCTGAATTAATACATTAATGTCAGCAGCCAAAGCGTGAGAAAAGAAATAAAGCTAAAGCAAACGCTCTGGTCTCACTGGTCATATGACTGCAACCTGCACCTCACTTGGGATCTGGGGGAGAGCCTTTGTCAGGGATCACAAAAAACAAGGGGTAGTTGGCCTACAAGGCCCTTGCATGGGCAACCCTTGGACAGGTTCCACCTGCCAGTGCCCCTCAGCCCCATTTGACATCCCCCAGCTGTTCCAGGCTGGCCCCTGAGCTAGGCAAATGCCTTTGATTTCCACCCCAGAATCACACTGTTACTTCAGTTCTAGGAGCCCACACAGGGCTAGTGTCAGTATTGGGATTCCTAGAGCTCCTACCACTAGTTCTGGGACTAGTGGGGCTCTCCAGGTTATGGTTAAGATTCAGGCTGATGAGTCTTTTGGCAATAGGGTATAGGCAGAGACTGGTAGGGCTAGGGTTGGGCTGGTCAGTCTCCCTAGGTGGTGGGGATCCTCTCTTGCAAATCCAGCAGCTGGTGAAGAACCAGGGATGGCAAAGGGCTCTTGCATCACCCAGTGCAAGGCCCCTGCACCATGTTGCTGTGATCCTCTCTAGGCAGTGCTCCCATCCCAACCAACAAGCACTGCTGTGTTACTAAAAGGTAGTTGTGCAAAAATAGCATTGAGGGCCCCCCGCCAGGATCAGAGCCCTGTGTGAAGATCACTGCACAGAGGAAGAGTGAGAGCACAACAGCCCTGCCATGAGCAGCAAACTGCCTGAACAGACCTGTCAGACACATGCCAGAGATGTGGGGATTTACCCATGGTTGCAGTGGCAGCTGGGCCAGCACCCAGGGCACCCAATGCCCAGGCAGATGAATTGTGCTATCTCAGACTCTAGACAATGGCCTAGATGGAAAGATTCAACCACAACAGAAGTCCTTCTGGCAGCTGATAGCTCACAATCCAGGTGTGGAGCTGACCTCTGCAGTTTCTCCCCCTGCTTCCTCCCCATCACCTCCTACAAGGGACAGTAGCCTGAAAACTATCCAAGTTAGAGTGCCACACAACTCATGGCCACCAACTGCTTCCTCCTTCCCTTGAGTCACCTCAGGGTACAGTACAAAGGGCTTACACCCCATTCCCAGGGTGAACCTCCTCTTCCCAATGCCCCAGCTTCCCAATCACAGCTAGGGCAGTGTATTGTGCTGCTGGCTATTCATACCCTGAACTCCATTACCAGAGCCTACCTTTGCAGGGGCTGCACTGCAGTGCCAAAGGCTGCGCCTTTCAGCATCTGGGCCCGGAAGCAGTCTGAGATAGAGGACCACCCTGAAGGTCATCACATACTTCTTCTTTTCCGTGGAGCTTCAGTGCTGGGGTACCAGGTCCCTCCACACAGAGATGTAACGTCATGTGTCAGGCAGAACCCCTCTGCAACTGGTCCCTAGAGGCTATGAGGCTTGCACAGCCCCAAGGTGGCAGCCTCAGCTTCTTAGCTCATGTTTTTAGCTCTGGGAGGGTTGCAGGTCCTCTGCAATAGTAGCTGTCAGTGCTCTCTGCCTCAGCCCTTACAGAGGAAGGGGGGATGGGACTGATCTCTGGGGCAGGGTTTAAAGGGGATGGGGAAGGTGCCAGTGGACACAAGTATAGACAAGGCCACTTGCCATTGCCTCAGCTCCCCTGGGCCTTGTGTGTGCTAAAGCAGGTGAAAGTTGCACTGCTCTGCCTCTGCCAGATGACATTAACCAGTGTGCTAACCACAGCCCTTTAAACCTCATGACGGTGCCACCTAGAAGGCTGACACAGAGAATAGTGCTCTATGCTCCACCAAGCCTCCTCTTCACATGAGCCACCAGGAAATCTCCTGGGAGGCCCCTGGACTGCTACACAGGCACCCACTGGTGGTTTTAAAAAAGGGTGCAATGGAAGTCTATGATAGAGGATGTGTATAACTAAATATATAGGGATACATATTTTAATTTTTAAAAAAGTTCCTTCGATAGGGTGACCCAGAATGCACTGCACACTCCAGAAAAAGAAGGAAGCAGGCTGGGGCTCTAGGCAGAGTGGGTTTTCTAACCACCCAGACCATAGGAGCTTGGAGAGGGCAAGGCACTTCACCTTGTTCCATTCCGCTACTGGGAGAGGTCTGAGTTAAAAATTGTCTCTATAATGTACCTAGGAGCTTGGGGGATGAATGGGGGGCAGGGGGAACCAGCCAATGGTAGCATCTTATGAACAGAGGCAACTGAATAGCAGTGAGCCCCACCCCATAGCATGGAAAAGGAGCTTGCAAGCAGATGTTCTAAAGAAAGGCTGAATTGATCAGCTGCTGCTTAAGGCCAGACTTTCCACAGGCCCAGTGTCTTTCCTCCTTTTTCTGTGGAGCTGCGAAACTCAGCTCTACTGCATGCACCAAGGTTAAGTGCATGGCCTTTCAGAACAGCCAATAGGCACTTTCACTCCTAAGCCCTCCAAAGCCTGCCCCTATGTGCCTCAGCTTCCAAACCTTGTAAACAGAGATGTGAATCAGTGCTGGGTTAGGATTTTCAGCTGAAACCTCCCCCTCCCCATGCCACCCCACCCCAAAAAGAAGATTCACTGCAAACCTGTGCTGATATTGGAGAAACCTGTGCTGATATCAGTGACTTGTTTCAGCTGCAAAAACACCTTCATGAAAAAAAATAAACAATGGACGACAGGTTTTGTTTTGAAATGTGTTTCTTATTTTTTTAATTAAAAACAACTTAAAAGGGGAAAAATAAAGTTTAATTTCAAGTTGATCCCAAACTGATATTTCTCAGTTTTTTCAGTAAAGCAGATTCGGGGGGGTAGGGGGGGAATCTGATTATTTGTTCAGCTGTAAGAAACCTACTAATATGATATTTAGCTATTCTGGAAAAGTGCTTTAAGACCCCTGACCAGAACACACAATGTAAATGTAAAGTATTGTTTGAAAAATGAATAAGCAGCAAGTCTTGCCCAAAGTCAGGGTATAAGCAGGGCCTAGACCAGGACTCCTTATTCACAGACTCTGTCCCCAACGAGCTATGGCAGTAATATTCTGAATGCAATTATCTTTCCAGTTCAGCTCCCTCTTTTTCATGCTCCACAATGAAAGGAAACAACCAAGCATGTACTGGTAGCTTTTTACTTGTCCTTATTTCTAACAGGCATTAGGAAAATTCACAACAGCCCAAGGGAAAAGGTTCCAAATGAGTGTAACAAGTGGATGAGATAAATAATTCCCTTGGCCTGTGGCCAAGCACTTATTGAAAAGGCTACCCCACAAAAGTGCCTCTGAACACACAAAAGCAGCAGCGGCCGAGATGGATGCCAATGAAAACTATGGTGATAAAGACATAACTTGTGAGGATGGCCTTGATGGCGTATCTTGTCTCAGGATCGTTAAGCGTCCGTTTGCGCGGACTTTGAAACCCCAGAGAGAGCCGGAAACCAGCAATCATTTGACTCTCTCGCCAGCAGTAATAAGTGCCCCTGTCATTCAGCTGGGCAAATTGAATGTGCAGGTGATTGCCATGGTCAATGAAGACCCGCATGCTCTTGTTGACTCCTTTGAGGAAGTGGGTACGGTATAGTGGAGCTAAGTCTTTGTCCCAAGCCACTGCATGCTCTGGCCTGGCCCCAGGGCAAGAGATAATCAGACTGCTTCCTATCTGCTGCTTGTGGAACTGAATGGGAACTTTGGGCACCCAGGGTTTTTCACCCAGCTTTGCAATAAGGTTGGCGATGGCAAGCACTCCTTCCTTGGGGGCTTTTTTCTTTGGACAAGGTGTCATGCAGCTTCGGATGACGACCTCAGGCTTCCTGAGCTGAATGGTGCTGTGGAAGCGCATGGGGACAGATCTTGAACCACAGGACACCACATCTGCCAAGGTGGTGCGGTACCTGGGGTTGAGGTAAGTGCTGTTCACGTAGCAGAGACCAATTCTCCGTTGCTCACCTCGTACTCCGCAGCGGTCACATTTGGTCCAGTCCCAAAAGGTGGTGAACAGACTGAACAGCTTTTCAATGTGATCCTTTTGTGGGTGCTGGCCTATGTCTTTGAAGGCCACAGTGATGTACTTGGATGGCTGCACATCCACGTCATAGCCGTAGAAAAAGTCCCCTTGCTTTGTGCCACAGAGATAGTGGCCCGAGTCCTCCACTTGGGCCCGAAAGACAATGAGACTAAACATCCTAATGCTGAAACGTTTCAGCATGTCACTACCCATCCGGATGTGGCCTGAGTCCACAACCATAGTGCCATCAAAGTCTGTTAAAACCTTGGTCTCCCGGCTGCCTGGGCTGTTCTGGAAGTACCACACAACTGAGGTGATCTCTTCTGGCTTGCAGTTGCAAGGGAGCTCAAAACTCATATCAGTCAAATAGGCAGCATTGTTGAACATCAGGAAGGCTGGACAGGGTGTTTTCTTGAATATGTCTTCCTTCTCCATAATTGCAAAAGCATGGAGAAGGTCTATCATCCACAGAAGAAAGGTCATTCCAACCAGCCTCATGGTCACCATTCAGACTAGACTGTCTCCAAGGAGTATGAGTCAAACTTGCATCCACATCCAATAGTAAGTAAGTGTTGTGAGATCTTTATGGATCTCCTAGTAACCAAGGTTAACAGTAGGATGTCGGTGGTGGGGTAGGGAGTGCTTTATGAAGATAGGGCTTGTAGGTAAGTTTTTAACAATAGAATTTCCCCTCTGCACTAGTTGGTAGATGGGAGAGGTTGAACAGGAGTCATCAGAAATATGTCATCTCAGCCTAATAATTGCTGGGGAGGCTACTGTAAGACTGCACTGAAAAGTCAAGGCTTTCCATTGGGGCCTCAGAAACATTCATTCTAGAACCTTTCCCTTTCTTCGTCACGTCTGCTCTAGAACACGAGTGCAGCCCTGAGAATGTCAGATTCAGAATATGCACAGCCCTATTCAGCTCTGAACATGCTGCAGACAATATCCACATAGCTTCACTGAATTGCAGCTGCCCCTGGGGCTGAAGGCCATGACCAGGTAAATTTATGCATACGTAGCACAACAGTGAGAAGAAGGAAATTCTGACTCAAATGCAGATGGGAACAACAGTGCAGTGCATGGTGCAGAGGCCTCCACTGTTTAAGGTTTGCCTGAAGGGCTTGAGCAGTAGCTGCAGAGAATTGCTCTTGGAGACAAACAGGGAGAGGGATCCACACTCTCTGCATCTCACCCTGTGGGTCTAGGGACTTGAAACCTAATATTTAGGCCACGTCAGCTTCCCAAATGGTTGGTCTAGGGTGCTGGATTCCATTGATATAAGGAAGTCCTGAGATGTCTCCAGCTATTCAAATAACATAGTAGATCTTTTTGGTCACATCACCTTCTCCTCAAGAGTTCTCAGCTTAGTGGTAGGATTATAAGTGCATAAGGCTAGCACGGGAGATCTTGGTTCTATTCCCTGTTCTGACACTGACCCACTGCATAACTTTGGGCAAGTCACTGCCCCTCTCTGACCCTGATTCTTGCCCTTTTCCTATTGTTGAGAATATTATCAAAAAATAATTTTAGATGAATGCATGAGTGAGTGAATGAATATGGCTTCAAGCATACCCAGTCTACTGAGAAAAGCAGCCTTGAGAACAGGAAGATAAGAAGAATAAATAAACCATTTACAAGAAGATAAGAACAAGAGCAGACTTCCTGTCTCCCTGTCTCAGGAGATTATAAAACAAGCAATTCCTTACCATAGATTCATAAATGTTAGGGTCGGAAGGGACCTCAATAGATCATAGAGTCCGACCCCCTGCATAAGCAGGAAAGAGTCCTGGGTCTAGATGACCCCAACTAGATACTCATCTAACCTCCTCTTGAAGACCCCCAGGGTAGGGGAGAGCACCACCTCCCTTGGGAGCCCGTTCCAGACCCTGGCCACTCTAACTGTGAAGAAGTTCTTCCTAATGTCCAATCTAAATCTGCTCTCTGCTAGCTTGTGGCCATTATTTCTTGTAACCCCCGGGGGCGTCTTGGTGAATAAATACTCACCAATTCCCTTCTGTGCCCCCATGATGAACTTATAGGCAGCCACAAGGTCGCCTCTCAACCTTCTCTTGCAGAGGCTGAATAGATCCAGTTTCTCTAGTCTCTCCTCGTAGGGCTTGGTCTGTAGGCCCTTAACCATACGAGTGGCCCTTCTCTGAACCCTCTCCAGGTTATCCGCATCCCTCTTGAAGTGCGGCGCCCAGAATTGCACGCAGTACTCCAACTGCGGTCTGACCAGCGCCCGATAGAGGGGAAGTATCACCTCCTTGGACCTATTCGTCATGCATCTGCTGATACATGATAAAGTGCCATTGGCTTTTTTGATGGCTTCGTCACACTGCCGACTCATGTTCATCTTGGAGTCCACTAGGACTCCAAGATCCCTTTCCACTTCCGTGCCACCCAGCAGGTCATTCCCTAGGCTGTAGGTGTGCTGGACATTTTTCCTCCCTAGGTGCAGCACTTTGCATTTCTCCTTGTTGAACTGCATTCTGTTGTTTTCTGCCCACTTGTCCAACCTGTCCAGATCTGCTTGCAGCTGTTCCCTGCCCTCCGGCGTGTCCACTTCTCCCCACAGTTTTGTATCATCCGCAAACTTGGACAGAGTACATTTCACTCCCTCGTCCAAGTCACTGATGAAGACATTAAAGAGTATCGGTCCAAGGACCGAACCCTGTGGGACCCCACTTCCCACACCCTTCCAGGT